AGTCTAATTGAATTAGACCAATTTTGTGAAGCAAATCGGAAAACTTGGCTTCACTTAGTGGTTTGGTGAAGATATCCGCCAGTTGTTCTTCAGTTGAGATATACTCAATTTTGATATCTTTCTTTTCCACATGCTCTCTGATGAAGTGATGCTTGACATCAATGTGCTTAGTGCGAGAATGATGCACTGGATTTTGTGAGATGGCTATAGCACTTTGATTGTCACAGAAGATTGTCACTTCCTTTGTCTTGACTCCATAGTCCAGTAGTTGTTGCTTCAGCCACAGAATTTGAGCACAACAACTACCAGCAGCAATGTACTATGCTTCTGTTGTAGATGTATAAATGGAGTTTTGTTTCTTACGAACCAAGAAACAAGATTTCCACCAATGAATTGACAAGTACCAGATGTACTTTTCCGGTCAACTTTGCATCCGGCAAAGTCAGAATCTGAGTATCCCACTAACTCAAACGAATTACTCTTATCATACCACAAACCCATGTTCTGAGTTCCTTTGAGGTATCTAAGAATTCGTTTAGCTGCTATCAGATGACTTTCCTTTGGCTTTGACTGGAATCTGGCACAAACACCTACTGCATATGAGATATCCGGATGGCTTGCAGTAAGGTAGAGTATAGATCCAACAATTCCTCTGTAGAGAGTTTGATCTACATCCTTTCCATCTACATCCATATCAAGCTTGGTGGATGTACTCATGGGGACAGAGACGGATGACTTCTGGTCAACTTTGAATTTCTTGATAAGATCCCTTGTGTACTTGGCTTGGTTGATGAGAGTCCCTTCACTTCTCTGTCTGATTTGAAGGCCAAGGAAGTAGTTGAGTTCCCCCATCATGCTCATCTCAAATTTTCCTTGCATGAGGGTNAACATCTTTAGGATGGGTCAGTCCGGCATCCTATTATCTCTAGATAATATCTGCCCATGTGCGGATGCGAACACACTGTCATTGACTATGAGACTAAGTCAAACATCCAACACACACTAGTCTCACATGCATTAACGATATCCCACTCTCGTTAATACTCGACTATGGACATTTAGATAAATATTTATTTCAAGATGTTAGTCTCATCAGCAGAAAAACACTATCTGATACACATCTTTTAAATATAAATCTAGGAATATAATATTTGTTTACATTAGCATGAGATGTGTAAACATATTATATCTGCCTATACATGATAGAATAACGATAAACAGTTGGCCATCAGGGCACAACTCCAACACTTTCCTCTGCAGTTGTGCTAGCACCAGCTCTGTTTTCCCCTTTGGAAGACAGATAGTACAGCCAATATCTGGCTTCATACTTCTTTCCTTCAGAAGCAGCACCCAAGGACTCCAAGATATGTCCAATGTACAGACCTTGACAACGGTATTTCTGATTGGGTTTTCCCAGGTGTTTTGAGATGGAATTGAAGAAATGAGCAGCCCAATTTACCTTAGACTTGGTAATGAGGGCATTGATGATGAAGGCCCTCTCTTGGGTGATGTCATCAGCATGTCCTCCACTTCCACATTCGAGGCATGCGATAATAAGTTCAAGGACTAGCTTGTAGTCGTTGTTCAAATGAGCTTTCTTCGCTGGGCCAGAGGGATTTTGCCCAGAAATTCCAATAACGCTCCAATCCAGATTTTTGGGTGGAAGTCTCCCAATTTCAACTCCAGAGTTGGGAAGGTGAAGCTTTTCTCCCAATTTCTTCTGCGAAAGCTTCACTTTTGTCCCTCCAACAGTGGAATTGATGAGTTGAATCGTCCTTTGTGGGTCCTTCTTCGATTTGACAGTCTTGACCTTTCCGTTTTTATAGAATTCAAGAACTTCATTCTCATACTTGAATCGAATCTCCATATGAAGAAATTCGGAGAGTTCTTGAGCAGCAATCATCTCCAGATAGGATTGATAGAACGTTGATGAGGAGCACTTGGCTTCTAACTTCTAGAAATCGATATTAGCGCCAACAATCTTCATTTTCTCGGAAATTTGAGAAGATCTGAAGAAATTAGGGTTCTTGAGAATTTTATCAGAAGATTCTCGTGAAGAAGACGATGAAAGATTTGAGTGGGCTGAGTGGGCAGTTGAGGTTTGATTATAGTGACGATTGGGTTTAATGTGGGCGATTTATGCGGCCAGTGGCGATTGGGTTTTTAACTGTTCCCAAGGCCACGTCCCAACCCATCATTTTGACAGACGTGGAAAATGAACTGCCACGTGCACCACACTTAGTCTAATTGAATTAGACCAATTTTGTGAAGCAAATCGGAAAACTTGGCTTCACTTAGTGGTTTGGTGAAGATATCCGCCAGTTGTTCTTCAGTTGAGATATACTCAATTTTGATATCTTTCTTTTCCACATGCTCTCTGATGAAGTGATGCTTGACATCAATGTGCTTAGTGCGAGAATGATGCACTGGATTTTGTGAGATGGCTATAGCACTTTGATTGTCACAGAAGATTGTCACTTCCTTTGTCTTGACTCCATAGTCCAGTAGTTGTTGCTTCAGCCACAGAATTTGAGCACAACAACTACCAGCAGCAATGTACTATGCTTCTGTTGTAGATGTATAAATGGAGTTTTGTTTCTTACGAACCAAGAAACAAGATTTCCACCAATGAATTGACAAGTACCAGATGNAGATCCAACAATTCCTCTGTAGAGAGTTTGATCTACATCCTTTCCATCTACATCCATATCAAGCTTGGTGGATGTACTCATGGGGACAGAGACGGATGACTTCTGGTCAACTTTGAATTTCTTGATAAGATCCCTTGTGTACTTGGCTTGGTTGATGAGAGTCCCTTCACTTCTCTGTCTGATTTGAAGGCCAAGGAAGTAGTTGAGTTCCCCCATCATGCTCATCTCAAATTTTCCTTGCATGAGGGTTGAGAACTTGGTGCAGAGGTCTTCTCTAGTTGAGCCAAATATGATGTCGTCCACATAGATTTGGACTAACAGGAGATCTTCTCCCTCTTGTAGTTTGAACAATGTCTTGTCAATGACTCCTTTGATAAATCCATTGTTTATAAGAAATTGAGACAATGTGTCATACCAAGCTCTCGGAGCTTGTTTGAGTCCATACAATGCCTTTTTGAGTCTATACACTTGATTTCCCTTAGTGTGTAACTCAAATCCTGGAGGTTGTTCCACATAAACTTCTTCCTCGAGGTTTCCGTTGAGAAATGCACTTTTGACATCCATCTGATAGACTTTCAAATCCTTATGAGCAGCAAAGGCTAGAAACAGCCTTATAGCTTCAAGTCTAGCAACTGGAGCGAAGGTTTCATCAAAATCTATACCTTCTTCTTGACAATATCCTTTGGCAACCAACCAGGCTTTGTTTCTGATGACAACGCCGTTTTCATCCATCTTGTTCCGGAAGACCCACTTTGTTCCAATGACATGTTGATAAGTAGGTTTGGGAACAAGTTTCCAGACGTTATTTCTAGAAAATTGGTTGAGTTCTTCTTGCATTGCATTGATCCAATCAGAATTAGCTAGAGCTTCTTCAATATTCTTTGGTTCCACTTGTGAGATGAAACAAGCAAGCATAGTTTCTAGATTTTGCTAAGCACTTCTTGTGCGAACACCAGATTGAATATCTCCAATGACTTGTTGGGGAGGATGATCCCTTAACCAACGAAGATTGTGTTGATTAGGATTGACTGGTTGATCTAGTTCAGCTTCTGGTTGAAGAACAGATGTTGGTGTTTCCGGATGGATTGGCACTGGGTTGCCATTTCCGGAATTGTCGTCGTTTGAGTGATCCGGAATATTGGAAGGCTGGCCAAGATTTCCGGTAGGCTCAGCAGTGTTTGAATCCGGATTTCTCTGTGAAGTCTTCAGTGGTAGACTTCTGAATGGAATGAACTCCGTAGTCTTCATTCTATCACCTTCATTGACTTCGTCATCCTTGTCAGATAGATCCAGAACCTCATGATCATGCTTTGATGGCTTGTCAACCACATGTTTTTCATCAAAAATAACATGTATTGACTCTTCTGTGATCATGGTTCTTTTGTTGAAAACTCTGAATGCCTTGCTCACCATAGAGTATCCAAGGAAGATGGCTTCATCTGATTTCTCATCAAAAGTGTTCAGATGATTCTTCCCGTTATTTAACACAAAACACTTGCTCCCAAAAATATGGAAATATGATATATTAGGCTTTCTCCCGTTCCATAGTTCATAGGGAGTTTTGTTGTGCCTTTTATAAATCATACTCTTATTTTGAGTATAGCAAGCCGTGTTAACAGCTTCAGCCCAGAACCTCTTTGGTAAAGAAGCTTTAGCTAGCATTGTTCTCACTGCTTCCTTTAGGGTTCCGTTCCTTCTTTCCGCTACACCATTCTGTTGAGGCGTCCTTGCTGTGGATATCTGATGAAATATTCCGTTTTCTTCACAATTATGAATGATGATTTCATTCAAGAATTCTGTGCCTTTGTCAGATCTAATCTTCTGAATGGTCTGACTTGCTTGGTTTTGAATCAGCTTCATGCAGTTGGTGAGTTTCCCTTGAGTCTCCTTCTTGCTGTTGAGGAAGATTTTCCACGTGTATCTTGAGTAATCATCAACTACCACTAGGACATATTTCTTTCCACTTAGACTTATTGGTGTAACAAGGCCAAATAGGTCCATGTGGATAAGACTTAATATCCTTGTAGTTGAGGGTGCAGGTTTTGCCTTGAAAGTGGATTTGATTTGCTTTCCTTTCTGACACGCATCACAAATGCTTTCCTTCCTGAATACAGCTTTGGGAAGGCCTTCTACTAACCCTTCTTTGGATAGCTTGTTGAGAGTTTTGAAGTTGAGATGACTCAACCTCTTATGCCAAAGCCATAGAAGGTTAGTGTCACCTTTGCTGATTAGACATGCTTCCTTGACATAGTTCCATATCACTTCATAGATGTTTCTGATTCTTTTCCCAGTGAGAATGACTTCATTTGTGGAGATGTTCTTGAGAGATGCCATGTCCTTGCAGAATTCCAAGGAGTAACCTTTATCACATTGAGTCCTTCAACATAAGATACAGCTTGGATGGTTAGTCCCTTGTACACCAGATTTCCTAGCCCTTTAGTAAGGCCAAAATCGTTGCTTCCTCCAAAAGTAACCCTTGGACCATCATAGGGAATTAGATTGCTTAAAAGGCTCGCATCACCCATCATGTGTCTTGAGCAGCCACTGTCTAAGTACCAGACACCTGGGTACTTAGCGGCTTCCTGCATTAGGAGGGGGAAGATTTTGGTACCCATTTCAGTTTGGGTCCGGAATGGTTAATGGTGTGTGTCCCTACATCAAGTTTAAAGTTGCAGGAAATTTTCCTTGCAGCTCTAAACTTGTTGGGATTGTAATCATAGTTGTAGGCATAAAATTTCCTACGTGCAGGAGGTGCAATTTCCTATTTCCTCCTAGCAAACCTAGGTTGATACGACCTATAGTTTTGTCTAGGTTGTGCATAGTGTGACCTGTGTTGATTATAAGCATACTTAGGTGGCACAAATAGTTTCTAGGGTGGAGGATGACTATATCTTGGCATAGTTCTCCACTCAGAATTTCTTGGAAAACTTATGTCTTCCCCATAATGAGTATAGCCTCGTGTATATTGGGAGTTAGAAGGTTTTCTTCTGAAATTTTTCCCTTTTTGAGGTCTGTCTAGCTTCCTATAGTTCTTAGGAGGGACTACCTTTTTGGGAACTTCTGTTAGTTTCTCCTTTTCCTTCCCTTTCTGCTTATTAGATTTGGAAGTAGGTTTAGGAGGGATGAAAGTTGTCTTCCCTTTCCTTTTGGAACTAGAGGGGTCAAACCCAAGTCCTTTGCGACCTTTATGTTTGGTCGTTTCAAGCAGCTTGTTCACTGCTTCTTGGGACTTGAGTATCCCTAACTCTTTGTTAAGGGATTTTACCTTTTCAGAGAGAGATTCATTTTCAGTTGAGTGATCTCATTCAGTTGACTTTTCCGACATTCAGTCAGCTTGAGATTCTCTTCACTCAATAGTTTGTTCTCTTCTGTTAAGGATGTGTGTTTGAGATTTATCTCCTCAAAGTCATTCATCATCTTTTTGAACTGGTCAAAAAGATTTTTAGAAGTTGGTGTGCTATAAGAAGATGAGCAGGAGGTTTGTGAGGTTACCTCTTGATCAACATCATCCTTGGCCATTAGGCAGAGAGTGTCATCTTCTGACATAGTCCACCTATCCTCACGGTTGGACTTCTCAACTTTGCGCTCCATGCAGACGAGGGCTTCTTCATCCGAGCTTGAGCTGGATGACTCGTCACTTTCAGCAGCAACCATTGCTTTCTCTTTATTCTCGATCCTTTCTCTTTCTCCGTACTTCTCCACCTTTGGGTACGGGCATGCTGACTTCCAGTGGCCAGGCTTCCTGCAGTTATAACATAAATAAGATTCAAGAGGGGAGTCACTTACCTGTGTCTTTCCCTTGGATGGCCTTCTGATTGAATCAGCCTTCTTGAAGAACTTCTTGAACTTCCAGAATTGTTTGACCATCATGGCAAATTCCTCTTCGTAGTTCTCCATTTTTGAGCTTGTCGGCTGGCTGGAGGAAGGTGTGTCACTGTTTCTTGTGCATATCCCTTCACTTGATGGAATTTTTGAAGTTGTCATCAATGCCGTGGGGAAGGGAGTGACTTGTTCTTCCTTCTTCTTTTTGAGATCGTGCTCATAGGTTCTGAGTTCATCAAGGAGACCTTGAACAGTGTAGTTTTCCAGGTTTCTTCCTTCTTCCATGGCTGTGGCTTTGGTGTACCACTCAGTTGGGAGTGATCTCAGCAGCCTTACATTCTTTTCTTTGGGAGAAAGAATGTGGTTAAGTGAGGCAAGATCATTCAATATTTTGTGGAATCTTTCATCCAACATGTCAAATGATTCTCCGGGAAGCATTTTAAAGCTTTTGAACTTCTCAAGCAGGACTTCTATCTTCTGCTTTCTTAGGTCCTCTGATCCCTCACATAGCTTCCCAAGACCTTGCCAAATCTCCATGCCAGTCTTGAGATGCTTAATCTTGGAGAAGGTGATGGGATCAAGTGTTTTGAAGATGGCTGCTTTGGCGACGTTGTCCAGATTGTGCTTTTTGCAATCTCTATCATCCCATTTTTCTTTGGGTTTGGAATGTACTGGACTACATCTGGAGCAGCTGGATTCCTCTCAGGGTTCTCCATTTGGATTTTCAAGGGTCCATTCTCAAGCACCATCCACATGCAATCATGTAGAGCGTAGAGATGTGCTTCCATCATGATCTTCCAATCATCATAACCTAGAAGAGAAAACTTGGGCAAACCATGATCCATATTGTTCACCATTATGATCGCTTCTCGTTAATCTAAAAGTAGATAGTGAGAAACTAGGCTCCGATACCAATTGGTGGTCCCGAAGTGGCGAGTTACAAAGTCTAGAGGGGGGGGTGAATAGACTTTGTTACAAATTTACAAACTTTTTCGTTTCTTTTGAAAACGTGAAAATATGTGTTAATCTAGAGTTCTTGTGAACTTTAGATTATGTGCGGAAGTTGGTGGGTAGAGTGAGCAGTAATCAATATGGATGGGTTAGTTTTCTCAGTTAATATAAATGCAAGTAAGAGTAAAGATAAAAGAGAGAGACACACAAACTTTAACGAGGTTCGAAGGTGGGGTAATCCTTCTACGTCCTCAAAATCCACTATGTAGTTGGTTGTTGAATAATGAACCAACAATTACACTTGTGTGAATTTCTGCACGGTATATCTTCGCAAGGCCAATGTTGCTACTGCACTCGTGCTGGCTTTGTTGTTCCTTCGAAGGTCACGCTTCTTCAACAACTGCAAGGTCCGAACAATAGGACTTGCAAGACCAACTTGTAAGAAAGTTGACCTACCCCCTTT